GACTTCTTCTCCCGACGCTTTACGTGCTTCACTTTCACTGCCCTCTTCCGCAGCGCAGGGTCCAAGAACGGGGACTCTTCTGTGTCACTCATCCAGGGCTGCAAGGAAGGCATACACTGACCCCCTTGCCCCATTCACAACTACCCCACCACCTACTCAGTTCCCGAATCAGCCTTCCATACCCTCTGCCTCCTCTCTTTTCATTATGGATACTCTGCTTCTGTAACCTCCACCCTTCCACCAGGGGATGCTCTGCCTGCTCACCAGGCCGTGGTCATCAAAGGCCCCTGCACATAAGTCCTGGTACAGGTCAGGGTCCAGTGGTAGGTCCTCATCTGAGAGTGGCTCAGGTGTGGCTGTAGCCTCAGGTGGGTCCTTGACTACTGATGACACCACTGCCCCCTCGTCCTCACGGATGCGTCCCAGCTTCTGTGATGGCTGTGGCTGCTGCTGGGTGGGCAGTGGCCGGCGAGGTCTTGGCAGGGACTCCGACGATGTCACTGGCGAGAGCTGCAGGGCAGAATCTCAGGACTGGCCCTGAACAATCTGCCCGCATGCCCCGCCCCGCCCTGGGAGGCTGGACTCACCGAGGAAGGGAAGTACTTGTACGATTCCTGTGCCGGCAGGAGGAAGGCCCAGTTCAGCCCCAGGTGGACGGAGGGTGGCTCTTCCCTAGTCCCTCCAACACGTGCCCAGCCCACCAACTAGCCTACCTTGCCATCCCAGGCACACCTGCACCCCGACCCGATAGCCAGGACATGCTCAGCCCTGCCCTACCTGCCCTGACATGCCTGACTACCTAGAAACACAGCCTACCCTTCCCACCTGGGATTGGGGGGCTCCCCTGCTAGACCAGCACTTGTGTCATGTCCCATTCATCTGGATAGGCCAGGCTCCTTTCCACCTATTTATATGCAGTTAAGCCCCACCCACCTAGTACACCAATTCTAGTGTCAGTCACCTCTTCCTGCACACACTGGCCCCCTAACCTGACCCTGCCCAGCTCTGCCCATGCTCACCCGGGCCCGCAGCTGGCACTGACGCAGCCGGCATTTCTGCCGGATCTTGTTGGGGCCCCCAAACTTCTTCATGTCCCGGCAGAAGTCACAGTGGCCACAGTCCTCAGTGCGCCGGCAGGCCTCACACTCGCCACACATTCGGGCTGACCGTTTGATCTGCTGCTGCTGCTGCTGCTGCTGCTGCTGCTGCTGCTGCTGCTGGTGATGCTGAGGGAAGGGGCCCAGAACACAAATCAAGAACCCAAGTAGGGCCTGAGCTGAAATCACCTTACCTATCCCAGCCACCACAGCCACTCACCTGGCTGGGTGTGGCCATCAAGGGCTGTGGAGAGGATTTGTGGGGCGAAGCAGAGCCCCGAGCAAGCATGGCCCCAACCCCTGTGCCTGACCCCGCCCGACGCTGCAGGTCTGGATCCGGGGCAGGCCTCTTGCGCCCTCCACCCTCATCCCGGGGCTCACTGCCGTCTCGCTCATTGCTGTCCCGTTCCCGTGACTTCTTGTGCCGATAGCGGATCTCCAGCTTGGGGTCTTTCTCTGTGGGCCAAGGTGGGTGGGCATTGGGGAGGTTGGCTTGTCTCAGAACTTTCTTCCTCTTCTCTCCTCTTCTGTCTCACCCAATGGTGCTCTCCCCCCTGCTCTGGGGCAGAGGGGTCCCTCCAGTGGGGTCCTCTGTGTTGGCTCACCAGGAACCATCACCCTGCCCGCAGAACCGTACCCCTACTCCCCTGACCCAGCCCCCCCGTAAAGCTCTTCCTCCCCCCTCTCAGCCCCTCCCGCCTACCTGTCCCGGCCACCCCTCACCTCCTCACCTCGGCACTCCAGGCAGTACCACTCCCGGATGGCTTTGGCCATCTTCTCCGTGATGCGGATGCAGTCCCCATGGAACCACTCATTGCAGTTGTCGCACCCGCTGCAGGAGAAGGGGCGGGCGGTGGAGATGAGCGGCTGGACCATCGCCCCACCTGGCCTCGGGGCCGGACAGGTGCAGCCCCGCCCCCCGTGCCCAGGCTCACATCATGAAGCAGTTGATGTCCGGTTTGCGGCAGATGCAATAGATGGGCGCGTTCTCCCCGTTCTCCGACTTGCTGTCCTCCCCCGCATCCGGAGGCTCTGGGTCCGAGCCATCCCCGTCCTGTGGGACCCCACACACAGGGCTCCTTAGAGAACCCCTGTCCTGGCTCACCACGGGCCCCCCACACTCCGCCAGGAAGACTTCCCGTCCCGGCTCCGCACACAGACCTCCGTTATGGGCCCCACGGACGCCCCCATCACTCCCCTCTGACATGACCTGGCACATAGAGCCCGGCCACTGTCCCCAGACCTCCCGTGCTCGCCCCACGGACACCCCCTCCCCCTGCCCACACTCGTAGGGCTCACGACCAACACCCACCGCAGTTCTCCCCCGAAGACTCCCCATCACGCTCCGCGATTAGCCCCAGACCGCTCCTCTGACCCCGCCTCCCCAAGATCCCGGGATACGAACAGCCCCGCACACTGGCCAGCATGTCAAACTCGCGGCGGGCGGGCCGCACACCTCGTCCATGGAACGCACCCTCGCCCCTCTGCCCAGAGAGCCCCCGACGGGCCCCCCGGAA